TGCAGCAATGTGCGAAGGAACGGCTGTGCAGTGAGGGGAGGAGCGCTGGAACAGGCTGCAGGGAGGTGGGGGAGTCTGTGGGTCCCAGTGTGTCTCTATGGGTCCCAACGTGTCTCTATGGGTCCCACTGTGTCTCTGTGGGTCCCAACGTGTCCCTATGGGTCCCAATGTGTCTCTATGGGTCCCACTGTGTCTCTGTGGGTCCCAATGTGTCTCTATGGGTCAAAATGTGTCTCTATGGGTCCCAACGTGTCTCTATGGGTCTCAACGTGTCTCTATGGGTCCCAGTGTGTCTCTATGGGTCCCAACGTGTCTCTATGGGTCCCAACGTGTCTCTATGGGTCCCAACGTGTCTCTATGGTCCCAGTGTGTCTCTATGGGTCCCAACGTGTCTCTATGGGTCAAAATGTGTCTCTATGGGTCCCAACGTGTCTCTATGTGTCCCAATGTGTCTCTATGGTCCCACTGTTCACTGCTGCCCAGGGAGGTGGTGGAGTCTCCTGCTCTGCAGATGTTCCAGACCTGCCTGGATGCCGACCTGTGCGACCTGCTGTAGGGAACCTGCTTTGGCAGGGGGTTGGACTCCATGATCTCTGGAGGTCCCTTCCAACCCCTACAATTCTGTGATTCTGTGATTATTATAATAATTGGTTGATTATTATTTTAAATTTAAACAGGTATTTGGGTGGAGTGTTCCTGGTTCCAGCTTGTCGTAGTCAAGTGCTTTTTGTAGAAGTGTGTTGGCATTGGAGGCACAGTGACACGTCCTTGCCACCAGCCACCCTGCAGCTAATGCCATCTGCATTCTGAACTGTGGATGGGCTTGCTCAATGATAAATCATTTGGCATCAGAGGACCCTGGTGGTTCATTGTTATTTGATCCCTTTGGCAATAGTGATCATCTGGCTTTTCCTAGCAGTGACTGTTTGATAGCGGAACCTTTCCAAGTAAAACCATTCACTCCTTCCTCCTTGAGTTCTGAGAAGAATAAAACAGATTTAATTTGTGTTCTGCAGAGTTCAGAGCATCCCTGGAGGGTTTCTGCAGGTGCAGGCCTTTCCCTTCCCAGTTTTAAGAGGGATCTCTCTGTTACACAGCACTGGCTGTACTTTATATTCTGTCACTCCAAGCTTTTTGTGTCATCAGTTCCCCGTACCTTGAGTGAACCATTTTGAATAATCTCTCCAGCTTCTCTCTTGCTTTTCTGTGTTCAGAGCTGAGTATGCCTTAAGAGATGCTGCTGATTTCTTACAGCGTTTCTGACCTTCTCTTGAGTTTGTCATTCGTTTTAGTCTCTTAAGGTCCTTAGAAAACTTTTCCTCGCTGCTTTGATTTCTGAGATCCAATCTTTGTGTTGTTTTAGCAGCCTTTTTTTCCTTATTTCTTCTGTGGCTGTTAGGACTCAGTAACTTGGGCACTTGTTTCTTAAGGTGCCATGTGTCACAGTGCTGAGCCATAAGCCTTGCTAGTGACACTCTCCACCCATCTTCTATTCTATCCACGAGTTTTCTGGCGCACACACACGTGTGATTTAATGCCTCTGAGTCAGAGCCTTGTGCAACAGTCTCCTGCATATCAGGTGAGATGATATCAGGTGGAATTAGTTCTTGAACAGTGAATGTTATGCAGAATGTAAGAGGTCACCCAGATGTTACCAAAGGACATAAGACAATCGCTGTGCTGTCCTGGACATACCACGAGATTGCACTCAAGATGATTGCTCCACTGTTTGCAGCGGGTTTGCACATGCAGTGGGTCTTCTTCCATGGCTGACAGCAGAGGTGGGCAGTGTGAGCCTTCCTTTGGGGCAGGGAGCAGTGGGGCACTGATAGCACCGGGCGAGGGCGTTCTGTGTGCTGGGGAAGCTCTCAGCCTCACCGAGGCACGCGGGTCTCTCCGTTTTCTCTCCATTCTCTCCCCTGGTGTTTCCCCCCTGCAGATGCCCGCAGCTGCTCGGCCAGGCAGGGAGACACGCTTTGTAAGTTCCCTCTGGTGTGCAGTGTGTGCTGCTGCTCCGTGCTGCTCCATGCTGCTCCGTGCTGCTCCCACCTGGCCCTGCTGTTTTCGCTTCCTTTAGCTCCATGCTACCCGGCTCGTGGGCTTGGGGTGCCCCTCAGCTTGCTGCAGAGCAGTGCCCGGGCAGCTGCTCTGCTCTCAGGGCTGTTCCCTGCTCCTTCTGCTGAGATGGCCAAGAAGCTGCAGTGCTGATGACTTTGCTCGAGCGCAGGGGATGCAAAGAGGGGCCACCATCGGCTGAGCTGGAGGAGAAGTGGAGAGGTGGGGGGGTTAATGTGTGAAATGCAGGGAACTGCGAGTGTCTTCTTGCAGAGGAACTCAGAGAAGCTGCTCTTTGAGCTGCTTCCCACGTGGAGAATGCATTGCAGGGGGTGATGTGGGACTTGAAAGCTTTGTGCTGTATGGGAAGAAGGGCAGGGGGAAAGAGTTGGGTAAGTGTGTTTTTGAATGGAGCAGGGTTAGCTGAAGGGTTCCGTTATGGACTCCGCATTGACACTTCTATTTCTGCTTTCAGGCTTCCATTAACTTCATTGCATCGCAGGATGACAGCAGATCAGTAAGTACATCTGCTCTGAGACCTTCCAGTAGTGTCCTCTGTGTATCCTCCAGCATGTAAAGCTTGCCTCTTCCTCCTGCGTGTGCTTACTTCCAGCCTGCTTACTTCTCACTGTTGGCTCTGTGTTCTTTTCTCAGTGTCCCTCCAAGTTTGCACAAATGCATTGTCTTCAATATTCCTACACTGAAAACTCAGTGTTTATAGCTTTTATTCCTGCTTACATTAGCAGTTTGCTCTCGTGGTTTTTCTGGCCAATTGTGCTTCTGGTCCCTTAAAGTATTTGGAGTTTCATTCACTTCCACACAATACCCAGCACTGATGACATCTTGGTCCCCTGTACCCCTCTCTGCTCCTATCTGTCTGCGTTCCTAATTGCAGGCCTCGCTGGTGTTCTGTTCATTGCACCACAACTTCTGCCAGTGCCCATTCCCAGCTGTATCTCCCATTCATGATGCTTACACTCCCCAAGCTCTGACATATCTGTGCCATTCCCCTCTGACTGCTGCAGCTGCCATTCCTATGGCAAGGCTCTCCCTCATCACTCAGGCATCACGTAACTCATTGGTGTTGCTTTGCCTGAACCTCTTTGCTTCTCCACATGCTTGCACCAGAGACGTGGCTTTGTGCTTGGTGTTTGCTGCAGTCGCTCTCCTTCCCAAGGACTCACCTCGCTGCCCTGACCGCTCAACTCTTTTCTCTCCCTCTCTCTCTTCCTCTGCATTTTCCCCCCTCGTGTGGCACTGACACAAGCAGACCAAGCCAGGCGTCATTCAGCCTCTTTCTCGAGCGCGACAAAATGCTGCCTCGCATAACCCGGACGAGGGGGACAGCCCCAATCCCTTCCAGCAGCCCGAGCCGTGCTCCGCTGTCCACAGCTCTGTAAGTGGCCACACTTCCTTCTCACTCAGCTTGTCCTAGGCTGCTCCGCTGCCACTTAGAGTTACGCTGAGGCCTGAAACCTTGTCTGTCAGCGCCTTGCGTCTTGGGGCAAAAGCCAATGGCATCTGTAGTAAGTTTGGTGATGTGCAAAATGATCGGTTTTCCTTCAGAGATTCTCATTCTCGGGGCTTTATGTTGATGGGAGAGAAGGGTTTATGTGTTTTGGTCTTCGCCTGGGTAAGAGTTGCTGCTGCGTACTTGCAGAATAGTCTTCTTATTGAAGCGTGTATGGATTTGTACCAAATCAGAAGCACAACAGCCACTGGAGAAGAAGGAAAAGACAAGAAAAATGAGTGACACCGGTAGATCTCTTCCAATGAGGAAGGTTCTGTTAGTCAGAAATACTGGATAAGGCCAGAGCTTATCTCTCATTTCCCAGTGGACTGGATTTGTCTTTCTCAGTCCGAAGGAGCACTCAGTTAACTGTATGTCACTGTATTCCAGCTCCAAAAGCCCACTGATTGATGGGTGCGTGCTCACTGAGTTGGGTGGAAATCCTTTAGGACCGTGACATCAGTTTGGCCCCATGGCCAAGAGATCAGTCACGAAATGCTGGTGAAGTCGATGAGGATTGGTGCCACCAGAATTACCGTTCCTACACCTGCCAAGAAGTAAAATGGGGCTATGATACTTGTGCTGCTCTATAAAGCACATAGACAGTGCAGTGCTCACCCTTCTGCACAACGCTGTAGCAGCCATCTTTTCATATTCCAATGCTCAGGCTCTGCAGGATGAGCATTTCGAAGCGTTTCTCCCACGTTGTGTTTTTTTGTAACAACTGTGATTTTTTTCTATGCTCTGTTTTTGTCGCTGTAGCCAAAGCCACCATCACCACCCTCTCCTGATGAGATTCCCATCAACGTCAAGCAAGCATACAAGACTTTTGCAGCAGTGCCCTTGTCACACCCTCTGCTCGAGACACAGGTAACTGCTGCTGGTTGGGGGCAACGTCACCCAAACAGTGGAACACAGAGAAGAAGGAGCACCGCAAGTGAGGGTAGGAAGGAGACAGCAACTAGTTTATCGCAGACAGACCTGCTTTCAACATCTTCATCAGTGACCTTGATGAGGGGATAATGGCCACCCTCAGCAAGTTTGCTGATGATACGAAGTTGGGAGGATTGGCTGAAGGCCGTGCTGCCATTCAGCGAGAGCTGGACAGGCTGAGAGCTGGGCAGGAAGAAACCAGATGGGGTTTAACAAAACCAAGTGTAGAGTCTTGCATCTGGGGAGGAATAATGGCATGCAGCAGTACAGGATGGGGGATGAGCTGCTGGAGGGGAGCTCTGCGGAGAGGGACCTGGG